TAATTTGATCTATTAATTAATTTATTACTTTTAATTACTTTTAATTGATCATTTCATTATCTATTAATTTTAAGGGTTGCTTCAGATGCATCCTTTCCTCTAGGGTTCTTTGGACTGGCTTCTCATAATGCTCTGAAACTGATATTGTTTTGTACAGCAGTTTCATTCCCCTTCATTTTTATACAGATAAGCCAGAATCTATTTAACAAGTACAAGCACAGAAAAGAACCACAAGCACCCTGCCAGGCTTCTGCTTACATCTTCTGCTTAAGTTTTCTGCTACCCTGCTACATCTTCTACCACAGTAGTTCTGCATGTTATAGTTTTCAAATTATTTGAAGCTTTACATCCCATTAGTCGATTACTTTACTGTTGGGGGGATTGTTAAAATTGGACACAAAAAATTGCATACAAATTTCCTCCCAGATTTCCTCCCAGATTATGCCTTTTAAACATCTTATATATATATAAGACACCTAACACACCTAGTTTCCATATGTTTAAAATCAGAAAAGTTCACTGAAAAATTTGTGGACTGAGATGAAGGACAAAGTTTCTCATAGGATCTTTGCTGTGATGTTACATGAACTTGATACAGTGATATGGAGTATGAGGCGATTATACAGCTTGATCTTTTGCAAGTGGGGGGCACACAAAATCAGCAAACAAATTGGGTTGATGAGGTTAACAATATATGCAATTTTCCACCCCAACTGCAAGACTGAGGCTGCAATCCAGTGGACACTTTTCTTCTCAATGTCCCACTGGAGTGTCTCTCTTAGCAGTCAAGCATATAATGAGACATGCATCTGAAACATGCCAGTCATTTACTGCAAACAAGTTTTGAAGCTTACCAAGTTCTTGCTTCCTCCAACAGAACAAGACACAATGAAAAGAAGAAGAAGCAACCAGCATGATAAATGAAACCACCAGTCTCATTTGATTTCAGGAGCTAAGCAGGGCCAGACCTAATACAGTGGGGTCTCTACTTAAGAACATCTCTCCTTAAGAACAATCCAACTTAAGAACAGCTCCATTCGCTAAAATTTGCTTCTACTTGAGAACAGAAATCCAAGATAAGAACAGGAAAAAAAGACCTTCCTGCTCTTTTTTTAACCTTAGGTCATCTTAGGTTAAAAAAAAAATTCTCCCCCTAGTGGTAGAGTACATATTAACCAGCTTTGCATTAGTTCCTATGGGACCTAATGCTTCAATGTACGAACGCACCTCTACATAACAAAACAACAGCCGGAACGGATTAATTGGTTTTCAGTCCATTCCTATGGGAAATTTTGCTTCAACTTAAGAACGTTTCAACTTAAGAACACCATTCCAAAATGGATTAAGTTCTTAAGTAGAGGTTCCACTGTAGTTTCTATGGACGGAAAAGAGCAGATACGGATTAAATGGTTTTCAATGCATTCCTATGGGAAATGCAGATTCAACATAAGAACTTTTCAACTTGAGAACCACCTTCCAATACGGATTAAGTTCTTAAGTAGAGACCCCACTGTAAGTAATTTGATGGGAGACCACCAGGGAATACTATGGATCAGGTAGGAATTTTTTTTTAAAAAAAAAATCTTACCTAGAACCCTGGAAAGCTGCACAGTTGATAATAGTGGCTGAGGTGAATCAATGGTTTGATTTTCTTTATTTATATAAAGATATAAAATTATGGACGTATATGAAATAAAGGTACAATTCAAACACATTAAAATGTTAAGACAATTAGATTAGTTTTGACCAGAAGTGGTCAATAGTGTTATATCAGTCATTTGCTGGATCTTTTTTAAACACATAATGGGGCATAAGTTGCATGAAAATAAGTGCTGCATTTATTGAATTTCTCTGCAGTCAGAGAAAAATTGTCCTGCATCCAAGTAACCTCATTTTACTTTATTATTCTTTGATCTTCCTACTTAGTTTTCAGATTTTATTAGGTGTTTTCCAGATGGTCCAGCTAGAGTCTTGTCCTAGTGGGGAGACACTTTTCAGCATTCATCCATTCAGGAAGGGGTGTTGTTTTTGCTCTCCATGGGTTTAGCTTAGCCTCTTCTGATTTAATACTTAGAGCTTGAGATGTGCACAGTTTTAGCTGTCATCTAAAGAGGTTGGTGACCTTGAAGTGATGGATTTGGTGCTCTATTGCCTTATTTCATTCATTATTTGCTAATCCTTGAAGTGATGGATTTGGTGCTGTATTGCCTTATTTCATTCATTATTTGCTAACACCTCAATGTACTTCTAGAGAGGCAATAGACTTTTTCAGTGAAGGTCGGTTTCAAGCAGCTAGTAATAATTTCGCATGATTCATTGAGAGCTACATCCAGTTGTTTGCCATACAGTGATTTACAGTCCAACATTAGCATATTCTGTTATGAAATAGCACAGGGATGAAGTTGTTGTTCTTAATGTTTGTGAGTGTGCACCCCAGTCTCACCCAACCAGTTTTGGACTGATTTCATGGCTGAAATCCTATTGATTAATGTTGTAAGTCACACTAGAATAGTCCCATTGAATCAGTGGAGAACTGTGTCAGCTTATCACCAAATTTGTTAAGTAGAGTAGAGTGATTGGAAAAAAGGGATATATGAAGGTACTGACTCACCATATCTCCCCCCCCCCCGATTCAGTGGGCCTACTCAGGTGTGACTTACTATACTAAGCAACAGGATTTCAGCCAGTATAAGGCAGTTTCTTATGTTCCTATGAACTGATAGGCTGTTAATGCCAGAAACAGTTGCCTTCTGTTTCCTCTTTCACATAGGTACCTTCCAGTATTATCAGAAAACGAGAGAGAAAATAAATTGGTAACATGGTGTAGCAGGCCATAACAATTCAAATGGAAGAAAATGAACTGGTAACTTTAAAACACATTGGGACTTTCATCCATGTATATACACCACAAGAACGTGATGTGTTACGGCAAAGGTATGTAAAGGAATAGGCATCCTTCAGTCTCGAGAGACTATGGTAACATGCTCTGAATCGAGGAGTGTCCTCTCCAGAGCATGAAGCCCGGGTAAGGGAATATGGAGGATAGGCTGTTACCCAAGCAGCAGATCCCCCCTCTCCACATTGCTGAAATGGTCCAATGGAAAGGCAAGAGCCAATACAACTGGTTCCAGCAATATGAACTGATAGGCTGTTAATGCCAGAAACAGTTGCCTTCTGTTTCCTCTTTCACATAGGTACCTTCCAGTATTATCAGAAAACGAGAGAGAAAATAAATTGGTAACATGGTGTAGCAGGCCATAACAATTCAAATGGAAGAAAATGAACTGGTAACTTTAAAACACATTGGGACTTTCATCCACGTATATACACCACAAGAACGTGATGTGTTACGGCAAAGGCATGGAAAGTATCATTAAAAATGGATAACATTTCCCACGTTGACTTCAGCCACAGTCTCTTTAAAAAAACACTCTTAAACCTTGATATCCCTCTCCAACTCTAAAAAAGGAGGTCTATGAAACTGGACGTGGACTTCCAACTAATTCCTCTTTTCTTTCGAAGGGGTAGAAAATTGGCCCCACGGGCCAGAATGTATGTGTGCATGTGTGTGGCATTATTTATTTCATTTGATTTCTATCCTACCTTTTTTCACAGTGCGGGGAACAAAAGGGTGGTAGTAACTTAAAAAAAAATTAAACAGATTAAAATTAAATTAAAACAGGAGATCAGCAGTGGGATGATGTACAATGCTTCCTCTAATATAGCTGTTAGAAAATTGATACCACTTTACCACCTGAGTGTACCTGAACTAGTACAAGCAGAGTCAGGTTTTGTTAGCATTTGCATGAGTGACCACCAGGGAATACCAAGGATCTATCTCCAAGTAGGTCCCAGAAAGAACCTTGCCTGAAACTCTGGAGAGATGCTCCCAGTCAGAGCTGCCAGTACTGAGCAAGATTGACCAACAATCTGACATCATATATGGTTCCTTTTGATTTTTGTATGCAACAACAAGAAATAAATGAAAGGGAGGAAGAGAAGTTAAAAGGTAACTTGTTGCCTATCAATGCATGACTTACGTTAACTTCCGGTTGTGAGTGTTGCTAAATCCAGCAAAGGAGCAGCTCCTGCTGATTCTTCCACCATTGGCTGGAGAGACAAATGTCAGTTTCACCGACATGGTTCCTGGTTAACAGGCGTGCTCACTCTCGAAACTATAGGAAAAATGCCACAAGGCAGTGGAGGTTTGAAATTGGAGTTTTCCTTCTCCTGGATGGGCTGCCTTCCATGGCTGACGAGCCCCACCTGCCCGGCCTGCTCTTTAATAGTGCAAAAGTATGATCTTTAATAGTGCAAAAGGTATGTAAAGTATCATTAAAAATGGGTAACATTTCCCACGTTGACTTCAGCCACAGTCTCTTTAAAAAAACACTCTTAAACCTTTATCCCTCTCCAACTCTAAAAAAGGAGGTCTATGAAACTGGACGTGGACTTCCAACTAATTCCTCTTTTCTTTCGAAGGGGTAGAAAATTGGCCCCACGGGCTAGAATGTATGTGTGCATGTGTGTGGCATTATTTATTTCATTTGATTTCTATCCTACCTTTTTTCACAGTGCGGGGAACAAAAGGGTGGTAGTAACTTAAAAAAAAATTAAACAGATTAAAATTAAATTAAAACAGGAGATCAGCAGTGGGATGATGTACAATGCTTCCTCTAATATAGCTGTTAGAAAATTGATACCACTTTACCACCTGAGTGTACCTGAACTAGTACAAGCAGAGTCAGGTTTTGTTAGCATTTGCATGAGTGACCACCAGGGAATACCAAGGATCTATCTCCAAGTAGGTCCCAGAAAGAACCTTGCCTGAAACTCTGGAGAGATGCTCCCAGTCAGAGCTGCCAGTACTGAGCAAGATTGACCAACAATCTGACATCATATATGGTTGCTTTTGATTTTTGTATGCAACAACAAGAAATAAATGAAAGGGAGGAAGAGAAGTTAAAAGGTAACTTGTTGCCTATCAATGCATGACTTACGTTAACTTCCGGTTGTGAGTGTTGCTAAATCCAGCAAAGGAGCAGCTCCTGCTGATTCTTCCACCATTGGCTGGAGAGACAAATGTCAGTTTCACCGACATGGTTCCTGGTTAACAGGCGTGCTCACTCTCGAAACTATAGGAAAAATGAGATACATAAACAGATAAGACAGGAATTATGTGACCGTCAAAAGTATGATAAAACTGACATTTTAGATTTCCTTAAAGTGGCTGAACAGCAGCTTCCGTTTAGTACAATGCAACCAGTCGTGTACTGCCTCACATCAGAATTTAGATAATTATTCACAAACTGTAAATTGGGCCTGTTATAAATTAATTGTGCAGTGTTTTGAAAATAAACTTTTGCTTACTGCAATGTCAAACAAATTCTCTACATTGCGCTGCTATGTGTTGTCAAGTCAACTCCAACCTACGGCAACCTTAGTAGGCTGCCACATTCTAAGGTGTGTAAGATAATTAATGGTTTTACCAGTCCTTTCTTTCAGAACCTGGAACTCGTCTTGTCATATGCTTAAAGAGCAAAGATCAGGAACCTTATCCTGCTGGCAAGATGAAGATCATGTTGTTAGGTGGGGACCCTCATCATTTAGGGGGCCTTTGGCCTGATCTAGATGTGGATACTCTCCTCCTGAAAGAGCATGTTGATAATCTGGATGTGCATCTGGACCTGGCCCTTTTGATGGAGAAACAGATCTCAGCTGTAGCCAAGTCTGCCTTTTTACATTTTAGATCACAGACCTGTGACTCTGCCAAGACAGAAAGTCCCTGTTAACACTAGTTCACATATTGGTAATATCAAGGATTGACTATTGCAATGCTCTCTATGTAGGGGTACCCTTGAAGGCAGTATGGAAGCTGCAGCAAAACCAAAATACAGCAGCCAGGATGATCTCAGAGACTTCAAGATATGATCATATTGCCCTTGTGCTAGCTTGCCTGCACTGGCTGCCAGTTTGCTTCCATGCCAAATTAAAGGTACTCATGTTGACCTATAAACAGTTTGGGACCTCTCCACATATTTGTACAAGTGTCCCTAAGATAAACTTCCAGTGCCACTTGTACCTCTCAGGCAGGAACGCTGCATGTGGCTACAGTATGCTATGGGAGGCCAAGAAGTCTTCAACTAGGAGCCAGACCTTCTCTGTGGTACCCACCTCCTTGTGGAATGCTCTGCCCATGGACATACGTCACACCCCTTCCCTCCTAACATTCAGAATGCACATTAAAACATTGCTCTTCAGGGAGGCATTTCAGCATATCCTCTCTTTATTGTTACTTATTCATATTTTTAGCTATATTTTCTAGTTTGTATCTTGTTCATTGCCACCATCTTGAGTGATTAGCAGTATGGTTCTTATATTTTATAGTTTTATATTTATGGGTTGTGTATGGTGTGGTTGTGTCTTTAATGTTTATTTCACTGTTGGAAACTGCCCAGAGTAGTGCAAATGCCACTAGATGGAGTAGTAAAGAAATATATCAAGCAGGCAAACAAATATCACTTCTTCAAGATACATGAACTATTTTCAAACATTTGGGAAAAGTTGCTTTTGGAGTGGGGCTCCAACTGCCTGAATCTATGGACATGCTGCTGGAGTATTGTGGAAATTGTGATTCAATCGACTGACTTTTCCATCTCTATTTTCTAATTAATGAGGGTGGAGACATTTGCTCTTTGAACCCTGTAAACCCATACTAGTATATACTTATTGAGATGGGGAGAGGTAAAAGGGAAGTAGTAAGGCTGTTACTCCCTATTGAAAAGCTCTCTCTTCCTCCTGCTATTATCGTTAAAAGTGTGCCGCTGGGAGCATACTGCAAAGGTTGGGGCATGCTTTGACTCGTGCAACAACTGTACTTCCTCCAGATTTTCCATAGTCCTCTTACAAGAAAAGGGTAGTCTGCTAAAACCATTTTCTGAAATAGCGGCCTTCCCCAGAACAAACAACCCCTTTAAACAGACTCCATTTTATCAGTAATTGTGTTGGCTAATCTCTTTTGCAAGCTGTAATTATACTGTCACTATGCTGCCCCAGGGACCAAGAGGCAGACTGATGGATTGATTTTTATCTTACCCCCACATCCACATCCTGTCTGGCCACCATTTTATCCTCATGACTGTGAGGCAGAAACATAAGGGTGGGTGGTACCTTTTATTGGACCACTATAGAATCCTACACATTGCAAGTTTGTGTGGAGAAAACATAGCTTTCTTAGGTTCAGCACAACCCCTTCACAGATAGTGCCCCCAAAAAAGTTGTAGACAAGAGTCCAAAAACTGATATCACATATCTGAGATGTGTAATCTAACCCTTTATGTGAAGCAGGTGAGGCTTAAAGACTGCAACTGACCTAAGGGAGCTTCAAATACCTTCATGGCTTTTTCTCTGTTGCTCACAAAAGGGAATATGTGCCCTTCCAAATATTACTGAACTGGAATTTCCATAATCACTCATTGGTGGGTATGCTGGTTTGGGCAGATATGAGAAAGAACCTCCTTAGCTTTAGCACCACAGTTGTGGACTCTGGATAGCTCAGTGGTTTGGGTACCTGACTGCAGAGCCAAAGGTGGGAGTTTGATTCCCCACTGTGCCTTGATTTTACCCTATATTACATATACATCAATAATTTTAAATACAGCAGCACTCTAAATTTAAAGAGAGAAGGGGACTGAATGATCCATAGGGTCCCTTCCAACTCTGCAGTTCTAAGATGATTATGAAGATGATCCACCCTGCTCTTGCAGCCACACTGATCTTTGCCCAATCTGGTTTTCCACCTGAGCATTTGGCACCTAGGGAGAAGTATTGTGATTGCCAATCCTTTAGTTTGCAGGATTTTGTTTTCTTTGAATTGTTAATTTGCCTTAAAGTGTTTCAGAATGCTTCCAATTTTTTTTTGAAGAATTTAGATGGTTTGTTACTCATTTAATGTGATTTTATTTATGATCTTCCACCCTGAGTTTTGTCAATTATAGTGGCAGCTAGGGAAAAAAAGGAAATTGCTAAAATAGCAAGGAATCTGTCATGGAAATCCATGCTTGACATACAACAAAATCCATATCATGATTATTGCAGTCCCTTGTGAAGAATCAGAGGAAAGTTAAAAAGACAAGGATAAACCTAGAAAGTAAATCCCACAAGGAAAATGAAAGGAATTGGAAATATTTAACCTTGAAATGGAGGGTTTAGGAGGCCTGCACAAAATGTTACAATCCTCACATGCAACTGCTGATCCTCATTGGAATAGCTGCAATGTTTAGAGTATGAGTCACGCCACCGATGGCTGTCACCAGACAGAGCAATGATCCTCAGCCTGGTATACTCTAAATAACTTAGACAGCAGGTAACATCAGCCCCGGCTAACATTAAAGTGAAAGATTAGGGTCATTGAAGTCCAAATCATCTAGAGGACATGTTATCGGGAAGCGATGATACAGAGTTTTCATACCCTTCCCTGCTACTACTGGTAGTAAAATGTGGACTTATACTAGGAATCTAACAGCAGAATAATCTCCCTTGCTATAAGAGACCATTACAGTAGTTATCTAGCCCAGGATTTTCTGCTTTGTCAGACAATAGTTATTTGGAGCCCCTAAAGAAAGTTCTTTCCCATCACCTGATCCTTTGGAAGTCCTGACAATTCAATCTGGAACTATCTGTATGCAAACCATGAGCTAAATCCAATTGTCAGTCTTCCAAAGTTTATTGCAGCCATATGACCTGTTTAAAAAAAATCCAATTGTTCATCGAAACTGGGGCACACTCACTGAATCAATGGGCCATGTGTAAGTGTTGACTTAACAATTCCTATTCATTCAACAGGTCTCCTATAGTTGGGAATAACAATTGGAGCCCCACGTGCCTCATTAATGAAGCAAACCAAGTTGGAAGAGCTTCTCTATCCATTATAGCTGGGCTATATACACTGCACAGCATAGTTGTCATATAGACATAACTGCGTTTCCTATCTGTAGTCCAATTCTCACAATTTGCCCTACTACCCTATTACATGGCTGCATGTTTACTTGCATCAACACAGCCACTGCTGATACTGCTAAATGTATGCCAGGCCCCAAGCACGTTTCATTTTTGGGCAAACATTCAGCTGCTAGAAGCTAGTATTGCTAGCAAAAACAGAACTGCCTGCCTCTCTTACAATTTTCAATCAATGGCCCAGCTGTCGAGAGAAAAAAAGAGGTGAAGTCAGACTATTCATCCCTTCCTCTCCCTCTCACCCTCCCCTCATCAGCCTGGCAGTTCTTTGCATAATTTTTTTTAACTGGATCAACACAAATTAGCTTGCACAGGCCGTCACAGTTACACAGCCCTCTTGTTTATTTTATCCAGAACTTGCCCAATATTGCTTTAATACCCCTATGATCAAAATCTCAGTCACTGCTAGCATTTTACTCCGAAAGCACAACATCATTACCACACAATTAATGAATCTAACTCAAGTCATGTTGGCTTCCCCCAAATTGCTGGCTTTCCTTTGACTTTTCTTCTTCTGTTTCCCATCATTAATCTGCTCCCTTTTGTTCCTTGAGGCAATATGCTTTCCCAGGTCTGCATGTGTGCTGTATTTGGAGCACTGGGTTAGCATTTCACAAAAGTCACCAACATAGATATGCAGTGAATAGAAGGCAAGGACGATTATTTCTGTACACATACAATCAAACAGCAGTAATGTAAAGACCAGCTCTAAAGATTTCCCTTTAAAAAGAAAGAAAAAGAAAATAGGGAGAGAAAAAAATAAAAACAAAAGGTAAAGGGGCAGCCGGATTCCTCTCATTCATTCAGGCAATGTGCATACTCACTCACATCCAGAACAACATTTCTTTAGACTCCAGACAAGGCGTAGAAGTTATCTCCCTCTGAGAGACAAATTAACTGCAAAAATGAGTGTACTTTTTTTTCCCTAGAGTAAACGGAGGTGCAGGGAGCCTAATCAGGTTCAGGGCCCTGACAAGGAGCATAAAGATCTTCAATCCTCTCCTCTCAGCACACTACCATTGAAAACCTGAGCAAACTTCCTCATGCTTGCTCTTTGACTTAGGAGGTCTGCATGGGTATCAGAACTGCTCTGAATGCACATGGACAGACATATGCTCTC